TCTTTCCATCTCCCTTCTTCTGTCCTGCTTTCTTCAAAGATCAGTGTCCATCCTACTCCCTCCTCCAGAAGCTTTTGCTCCAAATGAATTCCCTCTGATTTCACTCACAGTGGAATTTCCCAGCTCCCCAGACCCAGTCCTGGCCACAAAAGCCTCTCTCCACCCTTCTCTCCTGCTCCTAGTGTCCTTGATCAAGCTCCAAACTCCTCCCCATACAAGTCAAAGGTCCACCCCTCCCCTGTCTTCCAGGAAGGGGTATTCTCACCAGTTCTTTCCCTCCAAGCAAAACTCTGCTTCTGCCTTCTGCTGCTGTGGAAGAGACTGTTTCTTAGGACACACACAGCTTTGCCAAAATCCTTCTATTTGGTTCCTGCACCAGATTCCTCATACTGATCTGCAAGATTTCTGGGCACTGGGTGAGCCTTCCAAGCTGTAACTGGGCTGAGTGGGTTTGTTGAGACTGTTGGATAATTATCCTGGCAAGTAGTTTTCCCCTAAAAAAGGTCCTCAGGATGACTGGAAATGCCCCATAGTCACCTTGAAAAACTTTTGAAAAATTTGTGCACCCCTAGAGATTTTGATGTAATTATTCCATGTGGCCATTGCAGTTGTTTAGCACCTCCTGAAGGAAGTCTAATGTGTGTGCTTAGACTTCAGAATCAGTATAGAAACCTTCAAACTATGTATGTCTTTCTCACCAGGGTTAAAAAAAAATGCTTAGGATTCACTTTGAATCCTCTGTGATATAGCAGCCCACCCTTGTAAGGCTTAGGGAGCCTTACATCCCCTGTCCTTGGCCTGAATTTATCCTCAAACTCCAGGAACAGAAACAAAACACTGAAGCATTCTTCAGTGCTTTCCAAGAACGTTGCTGAGAAAGTTGGCAAAGCATCTGAGCCTGGCAAATCGCCAAAGAGAATTTAGTAAAAGAAATGAGAAGGGCCCAGGGTGAGAGAAAAAAAAAAGCCAGGGTGATCACACAGTTACTTACATTTGTTGAACTGCTAACTGTTCTGGAGACTCTGGAAAAACAGTATTGTTGGGCAGTTAACAGTGTGCATCACACTTGGCTTTTGACCTTTTTTCCTTTTAGCTTTCATTATTGAAGGCTAGAGCTGGTCTTAGACATCTACTCTGACGTTACCATTTTACAGATGAAGAAACTGAAGCCAAGAGAGACTGTGATTTAACAAAAATTCCACAACTAAATAGAGGAAGAGAGAGGCTGGAAACACAATCATCTTTCTGAGTCCAGTGTTTTCCAGCCACGCATACTTCTTACCTACTCACTGCTCAACTTTGAAAATGCAGCTTATTGTTAATGTAGAAACTCTCAGTTTTTGTGTGTGTGTGTGTGTGTCTGCTCAAAAAAATTGAATTTTCTCCTGGGCAAGCACTAGATGTAAATAATTGGTGACTCATTATTCAGCTCAAAGTGGGAAATAAATGGGAAAAAAATGACCTTCTCTCTCTAGGTCTCTCTATAGCAGGATGATTTATTACGTCCCAGAGATGTGAGATTTGAAAGACAGTGCAGACTTTGTTTACTGCTATATCTGCCACATAGTAAGACTGCAATTAATAGTAGTTTTGCATATAGATGTTACATTGATTAGGTACTCGGCTTTTTTTTTCTAAGTTTAAATGCATATTCTTGGTTTTTTGTTTCCCACAAAGAATGTATCTCTCAATTTTAACTCCAAAATTTATCCCTTAAAAAACAATACCAAGCAAATTGGTGTACTTAGCTATATTTTATCTGTGAAGCTTAGAAAGGTGAAATAAGGACAGGCGCTGGGGTTTGATGCTTGTAATCCCAGCATTCTGGGAAGCAGAGATGGGTAGATCACCTGAGGTCAGATCAAGAGTTCAAGACCAGCCTGGCCAACATGGTGAAACCCTGTCTCTAATAATAATATACGAATTAGCTGGTTGTGGTGGCGCATTCCTGTAATCCCAGCTACTCAGGAGGCTGAGGTTAAGAGAATTGCTTGAACCTGGGAGATGGAGGTTAACAGTGAGTCGAGATTGTGCTATTGCATTCCAGCCTCAGTGACAAGAGCGAAACTCTGTCTTTAAAAAAAAAAGCGGGGGGGGGGGGAATGAGTAGATAAGATACATGGCAATGTGTTATCTTGAATATTAAAAGTAGAAGCTATTTACGTTGATTATGAGTTAAGATAAACATGACTTTCACTGTTGGTTCTTTTTATAGGAGAACAAATTGGAATGGTTTTTACCACCCTGTCACTTTCATCTGAACTGGAAGACAAATTCATTGCTGTTTGCAAAATAATTTTTCAGTTTATTAAAATTTGTTATTTTTAAAGCTTACAAGAAATGAAGTGTTGGTCTTCTCTAAAATCAAAGAGAGCTGTACATTTACACTAGCCAAAGAATATATGTCCATCGGTGCTCTTTGTCTATGTAAATAATTTGAGAAGTGTGAACAGTTTAGTCGTGTTTTCTTGTAAGAGAAGGGAATACTAAATTTTCCTTCCTAAGTCACTATCTTTCTCTCTCCAAGTCTCTGTAAAGCAATTAATTTTGATGTAATTGGTCCAATGGTCCAAAGCCTGGTGACAAAGACATACATAGGTTGAAGGTTTCTATACTGATTCCGAAGTCTAGACACACACATTAGACTTCCCTCTGCAGGTGCTAAACAATAGCAATGTCCAAAGTCTCTCCAAGTCATCTGTAAAGAGAAGGCTGCTTTCTCCATTGACGTTCCTTTTCTTCTGTCTATAGTTACCATAAAATACAATAGTTAATAAAAATATTCTGCATGTATATACAGCATTAGTATTTTTGGGGGGTGGTTTAGGATTCTCTTGGTCGCAAGTAACAGATACCAGTTCTAGCTTATTTAAGTGGGAAATAATTCAACCTAGGAACAAGAGTGTACTTAGGTATCCTGAAGGTAGAAGTGGTGAATGTAAGGTCACAAGGTCCCTCTTTATCTTTTATTCCTTTCCTTTCTACCTCATTTATTTTTCTAACATGCTTTCTTAGGTCCACCTGATGGGTGAAAGACCATTAAATCATATTTTCCGAGCTTAGATTTTATAGATCTAGCTGCCCAGAGAAAGGATGATCTTTCACAGTCCTCTTCCCTATTCCTAAGGAAGATTTATATTGGGCTAGTGGCCCATTCTTAGATTAACCACCCATGGTCATAGAGCAGAAATAATTTAGAAAGTCACCCTAATAAACAACCTGGGAAGTCCAAGGACAGAAGGAATAGGCAATCAACTAACTTGATATCCATTAAATGGCTTATAATTCACCAAGTACTTTTTTTTTTTTTTCTTTTTGAGATGGAGTCTCACCTTGTGCCCAGGCTGGAGTGCAGTGGCACGATATCTGTTCACTGTAACCTCCGCCTCCCAGGTTCAAGTGATTCTCCTGCCTCAGCCTCCTGCATAGCTGGGATTATAGGCACACACCACCATACCTGGCTAATTTTTGTATTTTAGTAGAGACTGGGTTTCATCATGTTGGCTAGGCTGATCTCGAACTCCTGACCTCAAGTGATCCACCCACCTCGGCCTCCCAAAGTGCTGGGATTATAGGCATAAGCCAATGCGCCTGGCCCCAGGTACTTTTTAAAAAATAATAACCTTGTTTAATCCACAAACAATGACAAACCACTCTGCACCCAATTCTTTTATAGCACTTTCCACTTTCTAATCTTATTTTTATTAACTTAATTTCCTCTTTAGTCTGTGAATTTTTGTTTCATATTTTTAGTGCTGGATATCAGGGGGTTTGGTAAATATTTACTGAAAGAATATGACTGAATCTGCAAGGTAGGATAGTTAGAGGAGAAAACTGGGATTCACTGAGGTTAAGTGGAGGCACTGAGGTCCTCCCTGAATGAGTATAAAGTCAGCTGCTGAAGCCTCCATCCCTTTTCATGTTACCAGGCTGCTTTCTCTATCAACTTTCCTCTTCTTCTGTCTATGGTCAGTGACTCACCTTGCAGGATTTGGGTCTGGTGGTTAGAACTGTGAAAATAATCAAATTAGGATAGAGATGACATTCATTTTGCAAAAATTTGATTTTGCCATCTTAGCGCATGAGGGAAGAAGAGCTTTCAACTAATCTTGAAGAAGTCTGGATTTTCCTCCTAAATGTTTAAAGGGAGAGAGACTACTTAGTCTATATCTAAAACTACAAAAATTAGATAGACATTTTTCTGTTTTAGGTGTTTTATTCCTGAAAATGATTCTTGACTTGGCAGTCATTCCTAGAGAGGTGACCATTCCTCTGATCATTTTGGTGATAATTTTTGTTTTTGTAAGAGCTCTCAGGAGCAAGGGCAGAAAGCAGGTGTCCCCTCTGGCCTTTGGTCCTCCTATTATTTTTTGGCTAGATTTCCTTCTGCTAATTCTTATTCTTAATTTAACTTCTAAATTCTTTTTTTTTTTTTTTTTTTTTTTTTTTTGAGACGGAGTTCCGCTCTTGTTACCCAGGCTGGAATGCAATGACGCGATCTCGGCTCATAGCAACCTCCGCCTCCTGGGTTCAGGCAATTCTCCTGCCTCAGCCTCCCGAGTAGCTGGGATTACAGGCTCTAGCACCATGCCCAGCTAATTTTTTGTATTTTTAGTAGAGACGGGGTTTCACCATGTTGACCAGGATGGTCTCGATCTCTTGACCTCGTGATCCACCCGCCTCAGCCTCCCAAAGTGCTGGGATTACAGGCTTGAGCCTAAATTCTTAATCTAATTTCTTAAGATTTCTTTTTGTTAATTCTTAACAGTCAAATAGGAAATAAAGTGAGCAAACTGATTTAACTGTGCTTTTTCCATGACACTTGGTCTCTTGGTTCTTTTTTAGGGTTGGAAACAGTATCAACATGTCTGTATTGGAGCTTTCTTTATTTGATACACTATCCGGAAATTCAAGCCAAAATTCAAGAAGAAATTTGTAATATGCTTTCAGATGAAAAATACAATTCTTACAATTATCATTTTTCTTTTAAGTAAAAAAATAATATTTTTAAAGATGGAAACATTGAGCTGAAACTACCCAGATTCGAAGACAGGAAAATTTTACCATACACAGAAACTTTCATAAGTGAAATATTCAGACATGTCTCTTTTCTTCCATTTACTATTCCACATTGGTAAGCATATAATTCTCCTTTGAAACAGCAACCAGTGGTGGGGTGGAGGCATTGAAGAATCTTCAGATATTGGAATATTTTAAGTACTTTCAAATGTATATTGTGTTATTATTCTAATATTACTTTAAATATTATTTTTAAATACCATCATACAACTTTTGTGTTCAGCAAAAGCATATTTTATGAACATTTTTCATTACTAAACTATGCTGTCATTAGCTTTTATTTTATGTGTACTAATCATGGAGACAGAAAAATATGGAAAGTCCAAACAACGGATACTCCAACCATAATATGTATTTGGCTATGAAAAGTCATGTAAACTTGCTTAATTTCATCTGAGGAGCAGACATAGCTTACTTCCGATATTGATTGGTTTTTAGTAGCCTAGAATTTTGCTGGACAGTAAACTAAAGAAGCTAATGTCACAATTAGATTAACCAGAGTATTTATTTGCAGATACTTGAAACTTCACTGAATCTTATTCCAGATTCTCCAGCACACAAATGTATGCCAGCATAGACTAGGTAGATAGCTTCATTAAATACATCTGTGGGAAACCAAATTTCTGGTAGTTTGACCTGTTTTTATTCCGCCCAATTAAAAATTATTAAAGAAAAACCAGAATTCTTAGAGTTTGTTCTTCCCTCTCCCTTTAAATAGTGAAGGAGTGGGATTATCTGTCTTCCCAGGAAACCTATATAATCATTTAGTCATTGGTGTGACAGCATGCAGTGTCCTTAGCTAAGTGTCCCGAAGGGCAAGACTGCCAGCTGAGCAAAGTCAAGGCCAGACAGCAAGCAACATAGTTCCCTGTATTTTGCTCATGGTTTGCTGTCTTTGTTCACACACAGTGACTATCTTCTCACAGTGATGCTTTTTTTTTCTAGCTGTTCTGTCAGATCCTTTCTCCGTTAAAGCAAATTTCATTTTAACAAACTTAAAAACATTTTTTTAAGTCCTACTATTTAAAAGCAACTCTTCTGTCCCGACAATTTTTATAAGGTGACTTTGGGTGCTTCATAAGAGTATTATCTACACTTCTGCTAATCACCCAGGAACAGAGAGGCTCTGCCAAATTTATAGGCATCATTTGGAATGAAAGTGATCATCTAGTTAGGGCCCGGCAAACTCATCTGAGGGTCCAAGTAATAGGGAGATACATGTATTAGGAAGACATAGGTATTCATTGCATTATTAAAATTAAGGAAATATATTAAAATGTAAAATTAAAAGGATTACTGCATTGGCTAATGACAGCAGTGAGATATGAACCAGGAATTTTGTGCACACAAAAAAGCTATCTTACTTATACTGTTTAGCACTGATCTATTCTACTACACTTGGAAGTTTATTGTTTTTCAATTAACTTATTTTCAATGAAAATAAAAGGCACAAAATATGAGAAAATAAATTTAAACAAACTAAATGAAATAAACTTATGTAAACGTGAGGGAACGTGTTCTCTTTCCAGGTCCATGAGGGGGTGTAGTTTTAAGGACAAATATTTCCCCGGTGCCATTCCCCCTCCCATAACTCTCCATCTGTGAGATTCAATGGTTTCTGTCTGAATTTCTTGGGTGCAGGAAGAAACTAAAAGTCAATCACTCCAGTGGAACTTCTAAGGAACTCCTTTCATTGGCCAGCAAAAGTTTGCTATTACATATAACACACACACACAGAAAAGATCCTAATAAATATTTATTGCACATGTGTTCCTTAAAAGTTGTGTGGACAGCCACATATGTACATGAAATTTAAGGAATATAAAAGGAGAGAGAGAGAAACTCTACAATTCACCCTTATATTTTAATACAAGTGAAATAAAATTTTATATACCAGGTTTCTGTAAAATAGAAGCATATAACTTCTTATATGAGTAGAATCTGAGAAGCTGAATCCACAGAGGGAATGTGGATAGAGATAGGCAAGTGGCCGTGCATGAGAAAAGGTAACTCTTCCAAAAAGCGAGTCTATTGCTTGTTTGGTCTTTCCCCTTGTTCGGTTTTGAGAAACTCAATAAATAACATTCATATCATTTGCCAAAGTTCAGTACAAGCCACAACATAGACATGGGTAAAATAGGAATTATGTTATTAGCTCTTTAAATAATCAGAGCTAGTTTTCACAATGTGGCTTAGAGCTAGATCAAGTAGAACTCAAAATTGACATACTTATCTTCTCAGTCTTTGCCTAGGTCAAAGACCTTCCGGTCTCTATTGAAGGACAATAAATTCAGCCTATTTCTGATTGTAGGTGAGATGAATCTTCATTACAAATTGGCTAATCTGAAGAGAGAACCCAGAAGTAGCTAGACAATGTACTTCTTCTATATTGAGAGAAGTAGTATGTCTTCTCTCAAACTCATCAAATTGAAATGTTTCTGCTTCTCTTGGGGAAGTGGGTATGAGAATAGGGTAATGAGGTAGGGACTGCCACAAGGAAACATAAAATGATTGAATCCAATCCATGAATAATTATAGAGGTATAAATAGGAGAGGGAAACAGGTTTCAGGAAGGAGTTTGACTATCAGACTAGAAAAATAGAATATCTGCTTTAGAGGCAACTTAGAGACCATCCAACCCAACCAACACCCTTGTTTCATAGCTAGGAAATAGACTTGCATAATAGATACAGGATTTGCCCAACATCTCACTGAGGGCAACATCCAAAGTTTAGATTTCCTTGCTCCAATTCCATTGTTCCTTCTACCCAGTACTAAAAAGTCTGACATTTTGTCTTTCTAATCTATTAATAGACACAAACACATTGAACACACGGAAGTACTTAATAATTCCCTTAATTGCTTCCTGATGTAATTTGATCTGCCTATTTATGGTTAATGCTGTTATAGAAATATTGAGATACTTTTCTACAGAAATGTTTAGCTCATGGAAGTGCTTTGACTATATTAAGTGCACAATATGCTTAACTCGTGCAAGAAAATTAATTTGACAAGAAGTGGAAATTGTTTTAATTAATGAGAGAATGAAGATATACAAAGATACATTATTATAGTAAAAAAAAGACAAAAATAAAAATAGTCTGTGAGTTGCAGGCAGCAGTTTAAGGATGGGTAATTTGAATTGACAGGATGTGCTATAATGCTGTTTTTTGCTTTCTTAGTACTGCAGCAGACACTACTCTGAATGGCTATTTCATTCCCAGGAAAACTTGCACCTTTATTAACATGTATCAAGTAAACCATGATGAGTAAGTCACCAAAATTAATCTTTGGATAAATTTGTTTGCTTGCTTGGTTGTTTACTGTTTATGAATCTGAAAAAGATTTACATTCTTCTTAGCCAAACTTCACTCCTGTTTCGCTTGAAAGATATTGGAAAGAAGTTCAGTTTCTCTCCTCATCTATAATGCAAAGTGTGACATAGTGACATAAATTGAGGAAAAATCCAATATTGGGCAAATCCAATTTCAAAAGTGGGCTCATTTGGAGAGATTTGGGCTGAGGACTTCATGGGCTCGCCTTTTGGATGGTCGTGGCTAGTATATTGAAATGCAGTCTGAAATCCCCCACTGGAATGTAAGCCACAAGTAGGGATTTTTATTTTCTTTTTTTGTTTGTATACTTTTCCCTCTACCCCAGCACCTAAATTACTGACTCACACATAGTTGGCACACAATAAATATTTGTTGAATAAAATAAAGTTAGAAGTTCACCCTCATCAACTATGAAAGAGAGGGCTGAGATGAGGGTACCTGATGCAGTGAAAGTGAGGATAATGATAGTGGTGATGGTGGTGCTGAGAATGATGATTACAGGCTCCTACTGTGGGCAAGGCACAAAATCTTGAAGTATATTTCCTAAGCCTCAATAATAACATGATGCATTGGTGCTATCATGATCCCAATTTTACAGATTAAAAAACCCTCAGCCAGGTTAAATACATTGTCTAAGGTCACTTGTTCAGAAGGTGGCAGAGGTAGAACTCAACTCCAAATGTGTAAATTTTATGTAATGGAAACCAAGTGCTACCTGTGGTGCTCAGGATTTGGTCTCGCCAGTAACTGACAAAAGACTGCATTCTTCTGCACTCAGCAGAGCATAAATATCTTATACAGCCTTTCCTCTTCACCCAAGATCTCATCTGATTGATGTTTCAGGCTCCAAGCTGTTAGAGAGGGAGGTGATTATATACTGTGTACCTAAAGGTAGCTTCACAATCTCTGTAAACAGAAAGATGATAGAAGACAAAGCATATCCCACTATCCCAAAGTGACATATAACACTTATTGTCACAGAGATTGACACTTCTATTTTCCACAGCTGAGCATTTTAAAAGCACTATAAGAAGAAATACAGCCAATGTATGTTTAATAACATTTGTTCTTACTTAGTATAATCCTAAGTATTCTATTAATAATAATCCAAGAACTTGTGATTATAATGAATATTGAGTAATGTTCAAACAAACTGAGTTAACATGGGTACCACTAAAGAAATACCATTTGTATGGAGGCACTTGTTTAAGCTGAGTATATAATTCAAGACTTGATATTATAAGAAAATCCCTCATATTTAATTAACCTAAAGCATAGGTTACAAACTCAAGCATCTATTGAGCAATGAAAAATACCAAAAATAAGTGAATTGCACTCAGTGAAGCATTGTGGTGCGGGGGTCATCTGCCACATCTAACTCAGCTCAATAAACTCTTGGCAAGCAGGACATTATCCCAGTGTTGTCAGTTTTTGCAATTATAAAAGAGAACTTGGAAATGCACATTTTATGTGAAATCTGACTTTTAAATGTTAGCAACAATAAACTATTTTTAAAAGATTATGAGATCAAACCAAATGTACTGGAGGACTGTGTAGAGAACTAATCCTTTAGGTCTGTGGCCTCTGGTACAGACAGAAACCAGTTTTTCCTTCTGGAGAGATGATGACAATGACACACAAAGAGGGCCAGCTCTTTGTGAGTCCGGGTTGGTCCCTGATACATGGTTTAGGACCTACAGAAAACATGCTAACATTGGTTGTCATAAACAGTGCCTTAAAAGATTAAGATAGAAGAAAGAATCAGGTACACAGTGATTTGGGAACTGTGGGCAATCCCTCAATTAGAGCTGCTTTCTGAAGACCCAGATCATCTCTGCATTGTACAAAGGCCATTTCTTAAATATATTTTTACCAGAGTCAGAGATGTGGCCCAGTCTCATAATTCTTATTCATTCTGCTTAAAACAAAAGATATTGAATATTAATTAATTTTTGTTTATGTCATCAATTTGGAACATTATTATGAGAATTTTATGGAATTCGTCATTTAAAATAATTAAATTTATGGCTAACCCACACCTTAAAGTTAGTGAGCCAAGCTTTCAGGTGAGCCGAGCTAGATCTGGTTGCAGTGCATGGGTTGGCCATGAAGCCAAAACTATCCCCAACTACAAGCAGAACTTCGTTCCTTGGGGAGTTCATCTGCTTAGATTCTCAGACTGCATGGAGGATTTCTTATTTAACTCAGAAAAATTTATAAAGTAGATTTTTAAGTATTTTATTCACTAATGAATAGTCATTTTAGTGAAAATTCAGTGTAATTGTACTAAATATAACTAGATTTGTCAAATATTAAAAGTCACATATATATTTGTAATTATATATAATCATATGTCTCCAAAAGTACTTATACATACACGTATACACACTTCATCTATGTATACCTCCTTTCTCTATATATAATTTATAAGGAATATTCTAAACTTAAAGTAGTTCATGCAGAACAAAACTATTGTGGAAAAGTTGCCAATAATAGCAAAAAGCGAGAAAATAATTTCTTTTTAAAATGTTGTTTTTGTCTATTTTATGCAGAATTATTTGGGATAATCCTAACTTATTTAGACCTGAGAGATTTCTAAATGAAAACAGAGAACTGAGTAAAAGTCTCATTGAGAAAATTTTGATATTTGGAATGGACATCTGGAAGTGTCTGGGAGAAGATGTTGCACAGAATGAGATATTCATTTTCATCACTACTGTTCTGCAGCAGCTCAAGCTGAAAAAATGCCCCAGAGCCCAGCTAAACCTAACTCCTACATATGGGTTAGCCATGAGGCCAAAACCATACCAAATCCAAGCAGAACTTTATGCCTCAGGTAGTTCATCTGCTTAGATTCTTGGAATGAGTGGTAGGTTTCTTATTTAATTCAGAAAAATAGATGATTTGAGTTTATTTAACTAGCAATGTATAGTTCACATTCCTGAGCTACTCTATTAAATCAACTCTGTGATATATTTTATAAAATATGTTGTATAGCTTTAGTTTCAACATGAGACTTATTGTCTTGTAAGGATATTTTAATAATAATAAAGTGTGAGCCTCACGCAGTGGTGTCCCAGGTGTCATGTGGGTGTGAGTGGAAGGGAAAAGTGAGTGGCAGATTGACCAGGCAGGCAAGGGCACTATGTCTACCCTCCCTTTACATCAGCTTCAAATAAACAGGTATACTCATCTTTGCTTTAAATATAGGGTTCAGAATAAAGTTCTGATGTTAAATATTTCCAGTGATTTAGGGCACAGGTGCTCAAGAGGGCCAGAGAAAGGGACTAGAGTAGCCTAGCAGAGAGCATTGCATGGTGACCGTAGATGAGCTAGGCTAGAGTTAAAGAAGGGATTGCCTCAACCCCATTTTTATATCAGATCGTGTATTTTTGTGAATTAAAATTTTAATTGTAAGTCAAATTGGTGTTTTCACCATGTTACCAACTTCTTTTGGTACATACTAAATATGTATGTACATTATTTATAGTTTACCAGGACTGCTATAATAACAGAATACCAGAGGCCAGGTAGCATAAACAACAGAAATATATTTTCTCACAGTTCTGGAGGTGGAAAGTGCAAGATCCAGGTGCCAGCCAACTTGGTTTCTCCAGAGGCCTCCCTCCTTGGCTTAGAGGTGGCTGCCTTCTTGCTGTGTCCTAACACTGCCTTTTCTCTGTATGCACACATCCCTGGAGTCTCTCCCTCTTTTTATAAGAACAACAGTCATAATGCAGTAAGGCCCCACTCTAACAGTCTCATTGTAACTTAATTATTTTTTAAAGACCTTATTTCCGGATATAGTCACATTCTCAAGCACTAAAGGTTGGGGTGTCAACACATCAATTTCAGACTGGGGGAGACACAATTGAGCCCATAATAGTATATTATGAGAATAAAAGTGGCTGCTGATTTTTTAAAAATGCTTTTAAATGTAGGACTCAGCACTAAGTATGTGCTTTATGAACTGAATTTGTTAATGGGCTAAGGCATATAAGTGAACTTAAAATGGACCGTGAAAGAACTAGTATTCCAGATTGAAAGTTTGAGGTGGAATTGCATTATAAAGGATGTGGAATACAAGCTGGGAGGTAAGAGAACATCTGGGGTCTAATTCAACTGGGGAGAGCAATGAGCGAGGTGTGATTCTCTAGTTAACGATGATCTTGGCCAAGATGTGCAATGTACAAAGTAGAGAACTTTAAAGCAATTCAGAGACATTGAAAATTAAAGTCAATACATAGTCTTTTTTCCAATATAAATAAATTCAACATTCTCCTTGGGAATGAACAATTGAATAGCTTGTGTTTCTCTGTAAGAGCTTTTGAAATTATTTATATTATCCTCATGACAGTGTGTCAAAACGAAACTATTCTTATATCTTGTCAAATTTTCTGTATACTCAAGAAAATGGGGATGACTAGAAACTGTGAATATCTTCATATCTGTTTATCTGATATTTTCTTTAAAGAATTATGTTTTTCTAATCACTTTTTAAAAAATAAGCAAACCTTGTATTGTAAAATGCTAGTTTGCACTCTTTCTCTGCTCCTAATGCATAATTAAATAGTATACTATCGGGCATTTTGTATAATTTATGTTTGTATTGTATGTATTTTAGAAACGCGGGTGAGACTAAAACTGGGAAAAGAAAGTGTAAAAGCAAAATAAGAATAGCTTTCCTTTGTCATTTAATATATAATGATAAGTTCATTTTAATTATGTGTATTTACTTATCCTAAAATAATAATTTATTTCATGAAATATATAATCAGGAACAACATAGTGTAACTGTATTTATATATATAAACTTGTACTAACAAAAATGCTTTAAATAATAATCTGGAAACTACTCAAAGAAATCATTATAACTATAGAGAAGTGATAATATATGGATATATGCATCCACTGGTAATCCAAGATGAGTGAAGACTTAGAGTCAACATGTATGAAGTGTAAGAGCAGAGTTATAGGAATAAATATCCAGCTTCACACAAGTATATGCAGACACATCTCCCTGGCCTCCTTGTGGCCACGGCCCCTGGGGATTCTTGGTAACATTATAAAGACAAAGATCAGTCTGGAAACATTATCCACTGATGCAAATGAGTGCAGGATGTGCCTGGTCTCAAGTTCTTTAAAGAAGAAACTTGTGCCCAAAATTTAAAAGAACAGGATCATCTCCCACATTGCAATTCTCTAATTTATTCCCAGTTAAACCTATAATTCAGATAAAATATCAATCTGTAATAACACAAGAAGAAATCTGAACTATTTTAAAGAAAGGCATAAGGGGTCTTCGGGATTTTACTATCTACATAATTATTAATTAGGCTGTGAAATTTGTCCTGGTTTGCAGATGGTTCCTGGACTCTGAAAGTGTAGATACACAATTTGATATTTCAGATTCATATAGGACCTCCTCACGAAATTCAAGTCATACTTTAAATGAACAAGTAAAAAAAAAAACCCACTACGCTACATGCACTTTAAATAAGAAATAGCTAAAGGGAGTTGTTTTGAAGGCTTAACAAGCTATAAAAACAAATTCCCTGTGAGGAATACCTCCACTGGATTTGTCTTTATCCAAAAAAATGCAGGATGCAGTCAACATGTTCTCTATCATATACATTGTTAACACTGGAAGAGTCAAAATACATAAAAATAATAAAAGTTTATAGGTCTTTTATCCTTCAAGTTGTTTCCAGAAAATAGTTTACTTCCATTCAGTATGACTATCAGGCCCCACAAAGAATAAACTCTACACACAAAAGTGTTTTTATTTGCTATCTCTGTATACTGAAAAATGATGCATGAATATCATTTCCCAGCACAGTGAGATGATCAACTTACAAAATGTTCTTTTTAATGGCTCTTAAAAGTCTTTGTGAGTTTCTGATGTTTTAAGATTCCTTTACTAAACCTAATTTTCCCTTTTCCAGACATTATAGTCCCATTCATTTCTATAAGGTTCTGCATGGGGATGTAATCATTTGATGATCTCTTGATTACATCCTTCATCCCTGCCCCAGTACCTAGAGACATTCATTATTTTAAGGCTGATCTCTACCACCATGCACACTCCCCAAATGCAGGGGCAGTCTGTCTTGCTTCCCATTGTATCTCCAGTGTCTAGCACTATTTAAGGCATGTAGTACACATTCAATAATGTTGGATTGAATGTTTGGTGAATGATGAAATGAATTAATGATTAAATGAATGGATTTAGTGAAAGAACAGGAAAAGCTATAACAAAAAGGCAGTGTCTAAGAATGTCTGGTAAAGATAATATCTCTGGTATTTCTGCCTACCTTTTAATTTCTACTGTGTTGCTTACAATTCCTCAGCCTAAAAATCTGTTCAGTCTTCTCACACTTTATTTAATCTACAAGGTCCAAGGTCCAAGTCTCATCAATGAAGCATTTAATTCTTTAAAAAGTTTTTTTGTTATTATTATTTCAGAGATGGGATCTCACTTTGTCACCTAAGCTGGAGTGCAGTGGCACAATTGTAGCTCACTGCAGCCTCAAAGTCTTGGACTCAAGTGATCCTACTGCCTCAGCCTCCCAAGTAGCTGAGGCTACAGGTATGCACCACTACATCCAGCTATTTCTATTTTTTGTAGAGGCATTGTCTCGCTATGTTGCCCAAGCTGATCTCAAACTTCTGGCCTCAAGTGATCCTCTCACCTCAGTCTCCTGGGGATTACAAGTGCACACTACTGCTCTAGGCTCTCTCTCCCTTCCTCTCCTTTTTATGGCACATTTAATGGAAATTAGCCCTCATATGTCTTTCCAGAACCACAATCAAAGTATGTCCTTGGTATTTAGGAAACTTTCCAAAGGCAACATCTCAAGTGTGTTCCAAAATGTCACTGAGCTTCTTCCACTCTGACCACTGTATCTTGCCAACACAAAAGCTTGGGTGGCTGACAGTGCCATCGGCTCCACAGAAACATTGTTGTCTGGTAGCATGTGCCATCTCTTCGGTCCATTCTGATGGAGAGAAGGATCACTCTTCTCTCCTTGGACATCTTGTATCCAAGCATGGGTGTTGGAATTTACCTATTTTTCAAGGGCGCAACTGAGATTTAGCTGTACATTGGAAGAAAATTTACTTGAAGGTTTGGAAGGGGGGCGATTGGAAAGGATGATACCAGAAAAATTAAAAAGTTCTATAGCCTACTGCTTAAGCACAGACTCTTCCCAGACCTCATCCTGGACCAGCTCCTTGCTTTTTTTCTCCCTGAGGATAGGTCCCCCCACCTATTCCCAACCCTGACCAATCCAATCCCCATTAGAACTGTTCACTCCAGCTTATGAACACCTTGAGACCGGTAAAACAAAGATGCAAAGGAGGCTTCTCTCAGCCCCAGAGAACTGTCTCTTCTGGCCCTTGTCCTGGGCATAACTCTGAATCTTCATAACTTCCTAATCTAGGATTATCTAGGACTCACAGAGGGAAAGTCTGATCCTATAATCTCAATAGACATTCACATTATTAGTTTCCAAAATGTGGGATATTCACTTTTATTTATCATCCCCTTGTTATGCTAAAATTAGATAAGCAAGCATTCATCTCAATTTGTTCTTGTTCTCTCAAGCTATTGGTATTTCCTTTCACTGCCAGAGATCAAGTCCCTAACAGCATACTCTGTGTGTCAGGCAACAAAGTAGATATTTCTAAATTATTAATTTTGACATAAACCATGTAACAGGCATTAGTACTCTCTTTTTATTTTAAGACAGAGTCTCATTCTGTCATTCAGGCCAGAGTGCAGTGGCACGATCTCAGCTCACTGCAACCTCTGCCTCCCAGGTTCAAGTGATTTTCCTGCCACAGCCTCCTGAGTAGCTGGGACTACAGGCATGTGCCACCACACCTGGATAATTTTGTATTTTTAGTAGAGATGGAGTTTCACCATGTTGGCCAGGCTGGTCTTGAACTCCCGACCTCAAGTGATCCACCCGCCTTGGCCTACCAAAGTGCTGGGATTATAGGAGTGACACAGTCTAGTACCAGTGTTTTGCAGAAAAAGAGGCTCAGAAAGATAATATGCCCAAGATACTCTTCAGGTAAGGCTTAATGCAGAATTAAAATCGACATCAAACTCAACTCAAAACTTACGTAGTTTCCATAATGGCAATACTTTCAACAGTATATGCCTTAATTTAAAAGAAATTTTGGCAGCATCTCAAAATATAAAGTTGTGTCTCTAGAACATTCCAAAGTTATACCATTCAGAAAATCAATTTCAGTAGGTTAAAGACCTTAATAAAAAAAAGTCAAACCTTAAATGTCTAGAAGAAAAAAGAAAACTTTCTTAAACAAGATACTGAAAACGCAATCCATAAAAAGCAGTTCATTTTCTACATTGAATTTTACCGCTCAATGAAAGGCATAATAGACAAAAGCAAAAGAAGCCAGAGAGTGAAAAATGATATTTGGAACATATAGCGTAGACAGAGGATTAAGTATCCAGAATTAAGAAGACTTTATTTAAATTAATAAGGAAAAAGTCACCAATCTCCAATAAATGGGAAAGGTTTATAAATAGGTAAAAATATGAAGGGCCAAGAAGTATGAAAAGATACGTACCTCAATAATAATTAGTGACATAGATATTAAAGCAAACTAAAATACCATTTGCACAAGTAGGTTGGCAAACGATGTACAATTTACAAATAGGTCAATACAAATAGTGATAAGTATTTGGAGAAATGAGAACTTGCATTTACTCTGATTGGGTATGCAATATGAAGAAACATTTGAAATTTTTAAATAACCATGAAGATGACTTGCTTGAGATTTAGGAATTTCATTAGAGAAATCCTCACACACATGCAAAAGAAGGCATGCATTAACCATTGTAGCTTTAATAGTGAAAAACTGAAAACAACCCAATGCTCATAAATAAGATGCTAGATATACATAATTATGTTGTTTTCATATAATAGAATTAAGTAGTGTAAACAAGTATGCTAGTGTTACATAAATCAATATGGATACATCGCTGAAACATTCAATAAAAAATAAATTGCAGAAGTACATATGGAGCAAGATATTATAATATTTACATATTTTTTTTTGAGATGGAGTCTTACTCTTGTCACCCAGGCTGGAGTGGAGAGGCACAATCTCAGCTAACTGCAACCTCCACCTCTCAGGTTCAAGTGATTCTCCTGCCTCAGCCTCCTGAGCAGCTGGGATTACAGGCACCTGCCACTTTGCCCGGCTATTTTTTTTTCACTTTTAGTAGAGACAAAGTTTTGCCAAATTGGCCACGCTGGTCTCAAACTCCTGACCTCAGGTGATCTCCCCACCTCAGCCTTCCAAAATGCTCAGATTACAGGTGTGAGCCACCATGCCCAGCCTACATAAATATTTTTAACACTTGAAAAATCATGGTATATTTTGTGTGAATACATTCAAGTGTTTATACTATGGGAATAAATACATGAGGATGATGAATGCACATTCCAGCATTCTGTAGAGAGAGGATTTAAGATGGGGAAAGTATCACAGAGTTTCAATGATATAATATTTAATTTCATAGAATTTGATGATGGTTGAAGGCTGTTCATCATGTTTTTCATTCTAGTTTTCTCTGTGTTTAAAATATTCCAAACTAAAATTTAAAACTAAAGTGTGATACATGTATGCAGATGGTTAATATGTAGAAGTATATTTTTTGGAATGAAGGAATAATATATTATAAATAGCAAGTGTAAAATACGCATGTACACATTTATTGATTTTGTTAAAAGTATAGGAAAAGAGAAAGATGTGGCAATGTGTTGTAAAGAGAATGCTGACAAAACTATGTTTTTTTTAAAAAAAACATAATACTATAAATACAATACTATATTAAGAGCGTAAGCCTAATATGGAGCATATATTATTTATTTAAGATTATAAATTCCCTCCACATCTGTAAACTCATGTAAACGGTAAAGAAATGTTTAAGGGTGGCAAGTAACTGTCACAAAGTTAGTAGATCTGGTCTAGAGGGATAGTGAATCCTCAGACTCTCAGACTAGACAACTGAGCAGTGAGTTGAAACAGCAGGATATAGAAGTTTTGCATGAATTAAATTAAAACAAAAGCTGGCAACTGAGAATAAAGGAAGACAAAAAACTGTAAGTATAAAACCTTAGATGTCTGAGATTATTCATTGATCCATCAAGAAACTCTGCATAGCTACAAAACACTTTTATTTCCTGTTTGTGAGTGTTTTCAGGCACCTACTCTAAGCCAGACATTTTAGGTGCAAAGCATAAAAAAGATGACTATTATCTCTAACTTGCAAAACTTCTTAGAGTAGACAAAAATAAGGATACTGTGA